TGTAGATTCTCAGGAGGCAACAGTACTGTTGACTTCTCCCTCCACTGGACACCAACTAACTATTTAAGTTGATTTGCATACAAAGCAGAGCTTGCAACATGATAGCTATTCATAAAGGGTGTTTTTTTTTTTACTTTTCATATAATACAGTAGTCACACAATGAGGCAGTTCATATTTGTCTCAGTGAATCATTAATTTTTGACAGACACCTGTACAAAATACTTGGACAAAAGCCAGCTAAGATTTTCTGTTATCTTGCATGTTTTATGAATCTATTCACGTCTAAATGCAGCATTTTTTTTCAATGAGGCATTTGTTTTTATACTAAAATATCTGAATTACTTTGAATAAAGCTGAAAATTATGTCCCTTAAAATAATTAAACAAATACGGCACAAATGTTTTTGTAAGATATTTACATCTTTAAAGGACATTCGGTAGACTGATTCCCCACTGTTAGTTCAACCCCAAAACTTGTTTGTATTCAAAATTAATTATGACAATGTATATTTATATTGAAACAAACTATGTTAAAGGGAATTATATTATATAACAAAGGGAAAGGTCACCAGAGTTCAACTATGTTTGTTGTTGTTGTCGTTGTCGTCGTCGTTAATAATTGTTATTGTGTGCATAATAACTTTACTAATTCTATTCCAAACTTTATCAAACTTGGTCACCTTATTCATCATTATAAAGTCTTCCCTGAGTTTGAACAACAGATGTCCTGTATGAAAATATCATGCAAAAATTGAGAAAATCTGATAAAATATTTTGACTGTTTCTACTTGACTGATCACTTGTGATACACATCAAAGGTCACTGATCTCAGTGGAAATATGCATTGTTGTATGTGTTCAATGAAGCAAATGATTTATCTTGTAATAATATCCTTGGTAATGTATCTCAGAATCCCATACTGGGTTTCAAAACCAACTCATGGAGAGATTGCACAGTCTCATACACATTTGCAAACCTACCAATAAAATCTTGACAGAAAACAAGATGTCAGAAAATCAATATAAGCACTCCTATGAACTGGGTGCCTAACTTTGATCAAGATCTGAAGCTAATAGAAAATCTGTTTAGTTCAAAGTTATCAAATCAAAAACAATACATAACAAGTAACCTGTAGAATACTGTGTGGGTAATATTTTTTATATTGATTTTTGTTGCATTTGCAGCAAATAGTTACCAAACAATGAGAAATCTATAGGATTGAATATACCCCACAGCTGGCTTCACATGCATTGTTCACAGTTCATATGGTGCTTACACCAGGATTTAATTACAGCACCTAGGCGGTATGTGGTTACAGCTTAATGTTCGAGTAATCGCAAGAAATTGACATGACAATAGAAATTCATTAAAGACTGCCACTCCCATGCAATTAACAGCGAGTGAAATTCCTGGGATTGAAACATATATTTTGAAGTCACTGATGTAGGCAACGAATAACTGCAAGTTGACATAAAGACGAGGTAGTTTATTTAATCAGTGGTCAACTAGAGGCTGAAATTATAATTAATTTGTTTATTTCAATTTCTCCTGACGTCAAATAGAATACACTGGTGAAACACGGTAGTAACTGTGGGTGAAAGGATGTTTTGGGGTGTAGTTTACATTGTATATGGAGTGGTAGGGTCGGGTGTAATGTGTTCATTTCCAACTATTATGAAGTCACGTAGAATTTCACTTAATTTATTTTTGCTGACATGTTTTCAAGCATTACAT